AATACAGATTCTGGCTGCGTGTAAGAGCTCATGCCTGCAATCTCAGCAAGAGGATGGCATGAGCCTAGGATTGCTTGTGGCTGCAGCAAGCTCCAATGACACCACTGCACTCTGGCCTATGCAACACAGTGAGTCCCCATCTCAAAAAGAAAATTCAGATTTTATTTATTTATTTATTTTTATCGAGACAGAGTCTCACTATGTCGCCCTCTGTAGAATGCCCTAGTGTCACAGGCTCACAGCAACCTCAAACTCCTGGGCTCAAGCGATTCTCTTGCCTCAGCCTCCCAAGTAGCTGGGACTACAAGTGCCCACCACAATGCCTGCCTATGTTTTGTTGTTGTTGTTGCAGTTGTCATTGTTCAGCCGGCCCAAGCTGGGTTCGAACCTGCCAGCCTCGGTACATGTAGCCAGTGCCATAACTACTGTGCTACGGGCGCTGAGCCCAACTTTTTTTTTTTTTGAGACAAAGTCTCACTGTGTCTCCCTTGATAGAGTGCCCTGGTGTCACAGCTCACAGCAACCTCAAACTCTGGGACTTAAGCGATTCTCTTGCCTCAGCCTCCCAAGTAGCTGGGACTACAGGCGCCCACCACAATACCGGGCTATTTTTCTGTTGCAGTTGTCATTGTTGCTTACCTGGCTAGGTTCAAACCCACCAGCCTTGGTGTATGTGGCTGTCACTGTAACCACTGTGCGAAAGGCACCGAGCCGAAAATTCAGATTTTATTTACATATCACATATTCCAAGTATCTTTTTACATGTGTTACCTATCTTTAGTTGGGGGAATGGAACACTTGGGATCCATTGAAGAAATGAAGGGTACTAATAGCTTGGAATCCTTACAGAATTCTCATGGCATAGCCCATACTACTTCACTAACAATGTGATTTAAAAAAAGTAAAATGCCGTTTTATTTGTGTGTGTGTGTGTATATATATGTATATATATATATGTAGATTAGATTCGTTCCTTGAGTTGTTTTTTTTTTTGCAGTTTTTGGCCAGGGCTGGATTTGAACCCACCACCTCTGGCATATGGGGCCGGCGCCCTATTCCTTTGAGCCACAGGTGCCACCCTTTTCCTTGAGTCTTAAGCCAAAGTTTAAAAGGTTACACTTGAATCCAGTTAGGAATTAAGTATGACTTTGTATATGGGGAGCAGAACAAAGGTTCATGTGACTGGAAATCATGGACTTGCTGAACTTGTTCTTTAAGCACTTTATCATGAAAAAAAAACACTTTATCATGTCTACTCTGTTCTAGGTACCTGTTGTCACTACTCTTGAAGGTTTGTTAATCCTCATAAAAATCTTTGGAGTTGGCATTATTATCCCCATTTCACAGATGGGGAAACTGACTCATAGAATAATTTGCCCAAGATTTTTCAACCACTGAAAGGGAGAGCTGGTATCTGAACCCAGGTCATCTGACACTACAGGTCAAAGTTATTAACTACTGTCCTTTCAAATTAACTGAATTGAGCATCCTTGGACCTAAGACCACTGTATTCTGATGAAAGTCATGGAGAGTATCTTTGCGGATTAATTCTAACTGAATAATGTTCAATTCCTTTTGATAGTTGTATCAAGAAACATTTATTGGGCAGTGCCTGTTGCTCAGTGGGTAGGGCACCAGCCATACACTGAGGCTGGCAGGTTTGAACCCAGCCTGGGCCAGCTAAAACAACAATGACCACTGGAACAACAAAATTAGCCGGGTGTTGTGGCAGGTGCCTATGATCCCATCTACTTGGGAGGCTGAGGCAAGAGAATAGCTTGAGCCTAGAGTTTGAGGTTGCTGTGAGCTGTGACACTCACCACAGCACTCTACCCAGGGCGACAGCTTGAGACTCTGTCTCAAAAAAAAAGAAGGAAAGAAACATTTTTTATTTATTATTATCTTTTTGGCCGGGGCTAGGTTTGAACCCACCACTTCTGGTATATGGGGCTGGTGCCCTACTCCTTTGAGCCACAGGCGCTGCCCAAAACATTTATTAACTGCTTGATTGCACAGGATCTGTACAAAATGCCTTTGAGTCTGGGTGGATTTGGAAGATGAGGAGTAAGCATGTATGTCAGGTGCATGTAGGTTAACTATCCAGGTAAAGCTTACCAAAAAGTCAGTAAGTAGGACCCCTCAGGTGTCCGTGGCACTCATGGAGCTCATATTCGTAGCATTTGATCTTCACACCAACTCTCTGAGGGGGACAGGGCAAGAGAGGCTCAGAAAGGTTAAGTGACTTTTCTAAAAGCCTCACAGAGAGTGAGCAGCAGCGTTAGTGCTCTAATCCAGTTCTCCTGACTTCAAATCCAGTGATCTTCCCTCTATCTTTAACCCCTTTCCTGAAAGCTGAACTTTGCTGTAACCTTGGCAACAGTGTAGATAATTGGAGCCTGGAAACCGTGGGATTGCCGCCTCTGTGTGCCACAAGGTCACCTTAACCGTCAACCTTTGTGTCAAATCCCATCTTTGTATGCTTCATCCTAATGTTTCTTAAGCTTAGTCTCCTGGTCATCAAAAGCTTATTCATGCTGGGCTTCTTGGCAGATAGATGAGGTATGCTGTCTTTTCTGATCTTGGGCCATCCTGTTTCTTTCTTTCTTTTTTTAAAAATAGAGACAGAGTTTCTCTATGTTACCATCAGTAGAGTGCTATGCCATCATAACTCACAGTAACCTCAAATTCCTGGGCTCAAGCGATTCTCTTGCCTCAGCCTCCCTGGTAGCTGGTGATACCAGAAAAGTGGCACCCCAGCCAGCTCAGCTGAGCAGGGCCTAGGGGACCTGCCACTTCTGAATTGGTGGCAGCAGCCGGCAAAAAAACCCCGGCAGGTTGGGGCAAGCGGGAGAGCTTTCTTCCTCCAGAGGCTCCAGTAGAGCTGCGCTAGAGGACCTGTAAATCAAGGGAAAACTGGTGCCCATCCCTGATTGGTCCATTTTCAATCCTGTTCCTGATTGGTCCATTTTCAATCCTGCTCCTGATTGGTCCATTTTATGGACCAATCACAGCTAAGCTATTACACCTATATAAGGCCCTGAGCAGACTTGGGCAGACTTGGGCAGACTGGAGCAGATTTCAGCAGATCTTGCAGACCTTTGAGGAAGATAGAGCAGAAGAATAAGACTTCAGCACACCATCGCAGACGTCCAGAAGAAGAAGGGAAAGCTGTGGCACTTCTAGTGCTGATCCTGCTCTACAAAGAGGCTTGGCTCTTTGTAGGAGTTGTAACACTTGACCTGTAACTGTAATACCTCTGCTGCTGATCCTGTGTTACAAAGAGGCTTGGCCCTTTGCTGATCTCTGCCCTGCAAAGAGGCTTGGTCCTTTGTAAGAGCTGTAGCACATCTATCCTGCTCTACAAAGAGGCTTGGCTCTTTGTAAGAGTTCTTTTAATAAGAGTTGTAACACTTGTATCCTGCCCTGCAAGGAGGTTTGGTTCTTTGAGCTGTAAATAAAACCTCACTGTTCGTTCTATGGTCTATTGATTCATTCATCGAATCGTTGAGACCAAGAGCCTGGAAATCCAGTGTTAAAAATCCGGTATCACTGGGGCTACAGGTGCCTGCCACAACACTTGGCTATTTTTTGGTTGTTTAGCAGGCCCAGGATGGGTTTGAACCCATCAGCCCCAGAGCATGTGGCCAGTGCCCTAACCACTGAGCATGGGGCACTCACCCCATCCTGTTCCTTTTAGTGCTGGGAAGAAGGTATGAAGCCGGAAGCCAGAAAGACACAAAATAGCCGCCTGGAGTGAGGCCTTTCCCTCTGCCTGGGCCTCCCTTTCGCGTCTAAGGCTGTCATTCGTCTCTTGTGAGATGTAGCAGTTCAGCAGAGATGAAGGGCCTTTGCCTTTCGGTTGGTTTGAAAGGACAAACTCTTCTTAGAGTGGTTTAGATTAGGAATAGTCTTTACAGAAAACAACCACGCAGCATCCTTTATCAATTTGTGAGGGGCAGTGTGGTCTGTATACTTTGCACTCCAGTATGAAGTTAGGAAGGATCGGGTGCACAATCACGTCTAAGAAAACTTTAAATGCTGGGCCATGTAACACTTGGCCAGCAGGTGGCGCGGCGCTCCTACTGACCGGGAATAGTCTAAGAAACGCCGGTGGCCTCCTTTGCTGATGCCAAGTGCTCAGAGCGAAGGCCAACTTAAGTTTAGCCAGACTCAAATATTTCTTCCCTTTTTGTAGCACAGTACTCTACAATATCTGTTTATAGGTTTTAATGTATTTACACACTCTTTCTGCAAAGGTCTGGAATGGCTTACAGTATACAGTATTTAATGGTAGAACACGAAGAAAACGATAATATGATAAAGAATGTCAAATTTGATTCTGGGATTTCATTAGGGAATGTCCTTTCTAGGGGTTGACATAAGGGTACGTTCTCCCCTGGCGAGTGACTCGGGCTGTGATGCAGCCCCGGCGAGGTGATTGCACCTGCCGAGCTCCTCCTGGGGCTGGAACACGAGCGCCCCTTCAGGTAGGCTCGGGTGTGCCGAGAGCTTTTAACTAGTTGGGGAAACAGACCCACGTTCACTCTTACGAAAAAAGTCGAGAGTTTAGGCCAATGTTACACTCGGCCAAAAGCTAAATCTGTGCGATTGGTTTCAGTAGGGTTCTCGAGCTATTAAAAACATGCCGGTAAATTCCACCCGCCGCGAGTTTCTCTGCGGATTAAAGCTGGCTCCCACGGCAGTTTCAATGGGAAGGCGTGGTCCACAATAGCCGCGGGAGGGAGGACGGGGGCTGGTTGGGGAGGCGGGCGCCGCGTCCCCCGGCTACTCCGCCGGGCCGCCGGGCGCCTCCCCGAGATGCATCCCTGAGCCCCGCCCCGCCCACCGCCTGAAGTTAGGGCGAAGCCTGGGGAGCCGCTCGGGGCGGGGAGGGGACGCGGGCCGCAGGCTTTGTGGCGCGGGTTCCACCGCGGCGGCGGGAGGCGGGGCCGAACGCGGACGCCGCTGCCGGACTCTCGGTCCCGCTGCGGGCGCGGCGCATGGCCGGCCCCGCGCGTCCCGGCTTCCCCGCGCGCACCAACGGCCGCCTGGACACCTTCCTGCGGCGGCACCTGCCGCCCGAGGTCTACGATGCTGTCCGCGCCTACGAGCCCTGCATCGTGGTGTCCGACTCGGAGAACCACACCTTCAAGTACGTGGTGCTGAGCGACCGGCTCGTCTACCTGACGGAGAACCCACCCAAGTCCATCCAGCGCGTCGTGGCGCTGCGGGACGTCGTGGCCATCGACCTGGTGAGGGGCGCGGGCGGGCGGGCCGACGCGGGAGCGCGGCGAGATCCCCTTCTTGGGCCCCGCGGGGTCCCCCAGGCCGGTGCACTCCGAGCTTCGGCGCGCGCGCGGCACACGGAGGCTGCGGCCGAGCGCCCCCGGTGGAGGTGCGTCCCGGTCCCTCCGCCCCTGCCGCCGGCCGGTCCCGCCCGCCACCCTACCCCGCGGGCCGCAGGTGTGGGAACCCGGCCCCTGTCGGATCCGCGCTGCGTGAGAGCCGGAGACGCACGAGGTGCCCCCTTCCTAGCAGCCGTTGTAGGGGACTCGAAGCCAGTGCACGAGTTAAGTGCGGTTATGCTTTGTTCACTTTTGTCCCCAGTGCTCAGAGCACGTTAGGTGCACAGGAAGAATAAATGAACGAACGAATGGATGAATGAGATGTGCACAGGATGCGTGGCGCAACTGGGCTTAGGGCATGCTAGGAGAACTTTCTGGAAGGAGTGTCATCAGCGTCTAGGCGCGAAGGAGGTACCGTCCGGCGCGGCTGCGTCCCAGGCTTTCGCGGATTCAGCTGTGGCAGGCGGCGGAGCCTGCGCCCCCCACCAGACTCCGGGGTGGGACTCCGTCCGGGCGCTGCGGGCGGGCGGTCGTCGTCGGGACTGGGCTTCCTTAACAGCAGCCCCTGTTCTCCCAGTTCTAGACTAAAATTCGAGAAACTCACCGTTGGGCTGAAATCAGAATCCAGGTTTCCCAAACTTTCTTAGGGAAAAACATCCCGACGAAGAAAGCTGATTCTTAGCTGTTTAGATTATTTGAAGACTGCTTTTGGGATCCACGAGCAAGGATCCCAGCAGTGACCGTCATCGCCTCCGTCAGACTTTGGGGAGAAAGCGGTGGCGTCTTAGAGAGCGCGCACCCGCACTTGGACCCTAGCAAGATCGCTGTCCCGAAGAAACAGAATGTGCAGACGGGTGGCAGTGTCCCGAGAGTAAAGATGTTCTGGGAGGAGCAAGGTGCAGTGAGAGAAAAGGCGTCTTCTATTAGTCTAAATACAGAAAGAAACTGGTGGGCGAAGTGAACGATGAAAACCTGAATGCCAGGCCCAGGCAGGTGTTTCCTTGAGTGCAGAGTTGGAGGCTTTAGTACAAAGACTCATCGGTACTAAAAATAGAAAATATTAGTCAGCTTGGTGGCAGGCACTGGTACTCCCAGCTACTAGGGAGGCTGAGGCAGGAGAATCGCTTGAACGCAGAGTCTGGTTGCTGTGAGCTATTGTTACTGGAATTTTTTTCTCAGTAGGTCCTTGGTCTCGCGGATCTGAAGACCACCGATCAGTGGTAAGACAGGATTTTATTAGACAGAAGGGAATACAGGAGTCAAAAGCTCCAGAGCTTCTGGCAATTGGAAGCCTCTCTCCGAGCTCTTTGTCTAGAGGTCTATATTACATTTTGCCAGGTAGTTGAAAAAACATCTCTTCAAAGTTAATGTGTGCACTAACAAATGAATGAATGCAGTCCCTCCTCCCCTGGGGCAAGGTTATCTCAGAGAAGGGGTTAGGGTGTGTGCTCCCTACTGGAGGTGGAATTACCCAAAGCCTTGCAGGCTGCTTTGTTCATGACCTTGCTAGAGCCCAGAGGGTGTGGACTAGAAAAAGCAGCCTGTTTGTGCCTGCAGATGGGGGTCTGATTTCTGAGCTCCCCTGGGCCAAGAGAATGGGGGGGGGGATCTCTGACCAGCCCTGAGGAGTTAATCCTGTACACTATGATGCCACAGCACTCTACCCAGGGCGATAGAGGGAGATTCTGTCTCAAAAAAGAAAGAAAGCTGAAACACCTGTGAGCCTGCTTCTGCCACCCCCCACCCCCGACCCCCCAAGTACCAGCCTCCACCCTGCCTCCTGACCTCAACCACAGCACAGCAGAGGAGGAGGAGACACACAGCCAGGGGTCAGGTCCAGTGGAAGCTTGGTCTGCTGTGGTCCACACCAAGAAGCAGCATGCCCTGAGCCTGGCAGCAGGAGCTAGTATGTGTCCGTGTTGGCCTCAGGGCCCACAGATAGCTGGGTTTACTAACTTGACATTTTCCTTCTGGGAAACCATGCTTTCAACAGTGGACTTGAAGGTTACTCTTGAGTGTCAATGGCTTTCTGACCGCCTCTCTCAGCAGTATGGAACTTTGCTTGTGAGAAACGAGTTCTCATAACCCTGACAGAGTGCAGCCATTTTAGAAAATCAGGTCAGAAACCAACAAGCCCCCACCCCAGACTCCTGAATATCAAGGCCAAAGTTCCTAGAGACATCCTACCCACATCCTGGCTGGTATTAAAATATGCCTATAGTCCTGGCCCAGAATCCTAAGAATGCGCCCATATCCTGCCCCACACTGGAAAAGAGTCCCCTGCGGCCCTCCCAGGCCACTGCCTGCTCCAGCTGTACTGATGAGGCTAATAACACCCTTGCAACTGTGCGAGCTGAGCCGACCCCTGGCCAGTCTCATTCTTTTGCCCTCTACTAAGGTCCATTTTCCTGACTAGGGGCCCTGAGCTTTTCCTCATGTCTGTTACGTAATCTTTGGGCTTGGAGTTGGTATACTTTCTTAGGGTGAAAAAGAGGGAGCTTGTACTGAGCCTTTTTATGTTGGATAGTTAGAGATTGTTCACATTCTTTTGTGTAAAAGAGCCAATAAAGATATTTGGCTTTTTTTTTTTTTTTTTGCAGTTTTTTTGTCCGGAGCCGTGTTTGAACCTGCCACCTCTGGTCTTTGGGGCCGGCGCCCTACTCCTTTGAGCTGCAGGTGCCGCCCAACCTATCTGGTGTATTAAAAAACAGCAGCAGATTGGAAACCTGTCTCCTCTCCAATTACCAGGCCCCCCCCCCCCATGTCAGACTTGGCTCCTTTGTTTGAGCTGCTCTCCAGCTGTGTTCTTTTTTCCACTGGGGACAGGTGTCTAGCCTCTTTTTTTTTTTTTTCCTTTCTCTTACCTAAGTCTCTGCTACCCCGAGGGAGAGGTTGGTGAGACTCTTGATGGAGCTGTTTTGCCAGAATCATAGCTTGTTTTGAAACTATCTGTAAGAAAAGAATACAATTAAAAGAAAAAGAAAAAAAAGACTATTTTTCCTAAAAAATACATCTGTGAACTAATATCCCTGTGCACATTTACGTATTTCTTTCTGAGTAACAGTTGGAAGTAAGACCTTACTGGTTTTCTTTACAGGCACTGTTTCTATTCTGTTGAACAAAAATTTAAAACATTTTACAGTTTCTTTCGCCAAATGCTTTTGAAAACTTTAAATGCTCAGCTTTTTCTAGTGTTTCCGGTACAAACATTTATTGCTTTGACAAAGAATTAGGGATTTCAGGCTATGGTTACTTTCCTCCCAAAGAGACTCAGGACATGTATTTCTGTAGTTATGTATCCTCCTGAGCTGTCAGCTGAAAAGTTTGGTAAAACTCCTTAGCCTCCCCCAAGTCAAGAATCTTGCAAAAGGTTGCTAATCAGTTGACCTTAAAATGGGGAAATTAATATGGTTTATCTGGGTGGGTCAAATCTTTAAAATCTTTAAAGTGGAGAGTGGCTCATCCCTGTAATCCTAGCACTCTGGGAGGCGGAGGCAGGTGGATTGCCTGAGTTCGACACCAGCCTGAGTCAGAGCGAGACCAGTTTAGAGACCCTGTCTCTAAAAATCCCTGTAATCCTAGCACTCTGGGAGGCGGAGGCAGGTGGATTGCCTGAGTTCGACACCAGCCTGAGCCAGAGCGAGACCCTGTCTCTAAAAATAGGTGGGCAAGTCTTTGTGTGTCTGAGTGTGTTTTCAGGAGCCCCCTCAGAAATCTCAAAGATACTTAGGTATAAAAGATATCCTGAAAGTTTTACATAATTATTTCTTATAATTAGAATCTTATTTGGGCAAGTCACAAATCAAGAATTTGTTAGAGGAGATTGAGACTCTTGCCGAAGAGAGAATCATGGGTGTCTAAGAAACAGTGCCTGGTTACCTAGTCAGTGAAGCTGACAATGAAACATTTTTAAAATTAGACATAGTAAGTGACATGTTTGAAGAGAACCTGGTAGCAAGTATGGAAACTTTGTAAATGAACTTAGCCAAAATATATAGCCTCACTATCGAATATGCAAACAAGGTTTAATGGCCAGTGTTTCAGTATTCTTTCTTAGAAATTACCTTGGTATTTGATGATTATCTACTAATTAATTTAATATAAGGCCAAGGCTTTAAGTTACCTAAATGTCTTAGAAATTGTCTTCAATCTGAGATACTATAAAACACAAAATTCAAATAAAATTTATCAGAATAATGATCCCATTTTATTAGGCACAATTCGCTTTCTTCATAATTTTTAACATTATATATGAGTCATGTTAGCTTATTAGATTAGTAAACCTGTATTTGAGAGTTTTTATTGTCTAAGTTATTAAAACCCTCTGGAGATAGGGAAATATTATACACTAACACAATAATGGATAAAGGACTGCCTGATTTATAGAAACGTAGATACAGAAAGAGGTTATAGCTTCAGTTCAGCAAACACAGGAACAGCAGTCTCACTGCTCCAGGTACCAAAGAGCTGTCCCCTGCAGGAAAGCAGTAGTTAGTTGCACAGCAATGGACACAATCATTTGTATCAGGACAAGTATTATATTCATAATTATCCATTATCTCTAGTTTACAGAGTTTTAGAGCAGCTCAAAGACAAGAAAAGGTAGAGAAAAGCGGGCTAATCCTTTTATTCATTTCAGTCACAAGTTTTCCAAAAGCAAGAGAAGCATATTCATAATACAGAGTCATGCAAAGCAAACAAACCAAAGACTTAGTTACGTATGATTCTAATTTTATAAGCATATTTTTGAAAGAAAAAATATCCTGGAAGTATTTATGTATCTTCGTGGTTTTCTTTTTTTGAGACAGAGTCTCACTATGTGTCCCTCGGTAGAGTGCTGTGGCATCACAGCTCACAGCAACCTCAAACTCTTGGGCTTAAGCAATTCTCTTGCCTCAGCCTCCCAA